AGGATGTAGAGGGTGTGACTGGGCTTGTGTGTCAGTGTGGGCCTCCTGTGCCTGAGGTGGGAGGGGCCAGGATTGTGTGCCTTGGCTCCATCCACCTACACGCTCAGGGCACCCACTGATTCACATGGCTAGTGGGATGGCTGCTTGTACAGGGCTAATTCTGGGGGGCGGAGTCTTTAGTTGTTACTCAGTGGTTTGGCATTTCACTGGGTGGCTCCTGTATAAATGGCTGAGTGCCTCTACCAACGATCAGTCTCTGCACTAACACCTAGCTTTCTTCCTTCTTGGACTCACCAGAAGGGCTGGAGCTCTCACCTGCCCATTTCTTCCCTTTACTCCTCTGCAATTGTGCATTGTCTGTCTACACTTTCTCCTTCTCTAAGATTTAGATGTGACTCAGTCTGTTTCCTTGCTCTAGAAGCACTTTCCCTTTATTTCAAGGCTATACTACTCCTGTGCTACCCCCCTCCGCCACAGAGTGCCCTGTTGATGGCCATGTCCTGCCTACCTTTTTGTTTCTTTTCGGGGTTGTTTGCACAGAACCTCTACCATCAGCCATGCTCTCTTTGCAGCTGCTTTCCTGGCGTCTTCACTCCAGGTTGTTGTTCAGTGCCTTCCTGTCCTAGTTATTTAGTGCTGCTGTAACAGAAATATCACAAGTGGATGGCTTTAACAAACAGAAATTTATTCTCTTGCAATGTAGGAGGCTAGAAGTCTGAAATCAGGGTGCCAGCTCCAGGGGAAGGCTTTCTCTGTCTGTTGGCTCTAGGAAAGGTCCTTGTAGTCAAGGAGCTTCTTAGTGCAGGGACCCTGGGTCCAAAGGACATGCTATTCTCCTGGCACTACTTGGTGGTATGAGGTCCCCCTGTCTCTCAGCTCGCTTCTCTCTATCTCAAAAGAGATTGGTTTAAGATTTAACCTAATCTTGTAGATTGAGTCTTGCTTCATTAACTTGAGTGCCACTAATCCCACCTCATTAATATCACAGAGTTAGGATTTACAACGCAAAGGAAAATCACATCAGATAACAAAATGGTGGACAGTCACACAATACTGGGAATCATGAACTAGCCAAGTTGATGCACATTTTTGGGGAGACACAATTCAATCCATAAAACTTTTCAAAATGAACATGTTGCTCCATGCTGGCAGGCAGGGTGTGGTTGATCTGGGAATGTCTGTTTTCCTGCTGGCCTAGTTCTGTCTCTCCTTCCAGTCGATGCTCAGTCTGTTTCTTCAACTCTCTGTTTGATGCTTTGGGATCCGTGGTTGTTTTTTGTGTCTCTTTTACTTAGTTTCTTGAGTTTTTGTTGTCAAGAAGTTGTTATAGTGTATCTAGGGCACTATATTGACCAGAAGTCTCCTCTGTGTGGTTTTCAATGGCTGATTTTTTGTAAGTAGATAACCAGTCCTTTCTTCTGAGGTGCCTCTGGGTGGACCTTTTGGTTAGCAGTCATGTGCTTAAATATTTGCACCACCAAGGAACTCCAAGATGCACAATACACCACCTAAAACTTGAGAGGAAAAGCCAGGGAGAGAATTTCTTCGCGAAATTAGGGCATTCAAAAGTTCTCTGGGGCACATTTGAGGGTTTGGTAAGTGACTTGTCTCTTCCCCCACCTTAACTTCTTATTTTGGATGATTTCAAACCTACGGAAAAGTTGAAAGAACAAGAATATGAACACCAGTTTACCTTTTACCTAGAATCACCAAGTGCTCATATTTTGCCACACTTGCTGTGTCTTGCTCTCCTTCTTATTTGCATGTGCTTCCACCATTTATCCATATATCCACTTTTTCTCTTTTCATCAACCATTTGAAAGTAAATTGCAAGTAGCATGATACTTCACCTCTAAATATTTTAGTAAATATCTCCTATAGATAAGGACATTCTCCTACAAAGCCACACCATTAACACACTCAGGAAATTTAACATCAGTATTTTATTAGTTGATAGGAGTTTAGGTGGTGCAAGCTGTTTGCAGTGGGCTGCTAACCTAAAGGTTGGTGATTTGAAGCCACCCAGCAGCTCCATGGAAGAAAGGCATGCTAAATTGCATAAAGATTATAACTTAGAAAACCCTATGGAGCAGTTCTACTCCGTAATACATATGGTTGCCATGAGTTGGTATTGACTTGACAGCAATGGGTTTGGTTTTGGTTTTATAATATTACCTGATAATTAGCAAATATTCAAATGTCTCCACTTATCCAGTAATATCCTTTAAGCTTTTTTTTTCCTTTCTTCTTTATAATTTTTTATTTTTTTGATCCAGGATTCAATCAAGGATCACACATTGCACTTAGTTTTCAATATCTTTGGTGTCCTTTAATCTAAAACAGTACCCCCCAATTTATTGTTTGTTTTGGTTTTGGTCTTTTATGACTTCTATATATTTGATAAGTCCAGGCCAGTTGTGGGAATATTCAAAAATTTACATTTGTCTGATTGTTCATGATTATTATATTCAGGTTAACATGTTCAGATTAAACATCTTTGGTAAGGATACAGCATAAGTAATGGGTCCTTCTCATTGCATATTATCTAATGGTCCCTGTGCTATTTGGCCAGTGAGAAACCCTTAAGGATAGCTTTTGTGTCTTTTTGATATCCAAGTAGTCTTTCATAGCTTCCTCGCTTTCTGGTAAAACAAGATATTCTGGATTACTTTGGTGCCTTTAATGCTTCACACCCAGGCTCAGTTATTTCTCCAAGAACTTCTGCCACCTTATAGTGGGAAATGGTTTTAGGGACCACAGTGTGGGCTTTAGGAGTGCTTATTGCTATTGGGTTGGTCATTGTTTCTAGGCTTTTTCAGTGGATACAGCTAGGAATTTTTTTACAGAAAAGTGTATCATAAATTTATTTTGATACCTTAAAATTCAAACGTAAGATTCAAGATTTTTGCTTATTTGATTTTATATCTTCTTTCTTAGTATAAAAATATGTTTCTAATTATATAATTAGTTGTTTGCTTTATCCCACTATACATACTGATTTCACAATAACAATATTATAACTGAAATATAGCTTAAGATTTCTTTGCAATTGTTTTTATCTTGAGAATATACTCAAATTACTGTGCTTAAAGTTCACCTTTACCTTGTTTCCTCCCACTTTCATAGGATAAACATTTTATTAGTTTTTGAATTAGCCTTGTATTGATTTTTAAAATATAAACAGATTTGTGTAGAATCATATTCCCCTTCTTTTTTAGATAAAAAGTAAGATACTATAGACACTATTCTGCCTTTTTCACTTAACAGTATATCCTGGAAATCACTGCCTAACAGTATACAGAGATATATTCCATTTCTCATTGATTTTACAGCTGCGTGTGTAACTATGTTAAACATTTGAATTTTCTTATAGCTGCATGTGTAACTATGTTAAATATTTGAATTGTTTATAGTCTTTTGCAATTACTGTATGATAACTTTTATATTAAAAATATATGTAATTAGCAGTAAATTTCTTTAAAAGACTGTGGAGTCTGTAATGAAGTAGAAATTGAGGGAGACTGTTTAAAGCAGTTGAGCCTCTGCAGCAATTAGCAAGAACTCCAGAGAGTAGATTTTGGTCTGAGAAGGGTCTCTAAGCTTAAATATTAAAAGGGTGCTTGAAACATCTATGTCTTTTGACCCTGACATAACATGATAAACATTTCAAATCTGAATGTAACAACTCTTCTAATTTTTAAAAAATACTGTTATATTTTTGACCTAAGAGTCTCTAAGCTTAAAAAGAAGGGTGCTGGTAATATCTGTACTTTTTGGCCCTGACATAACATGATAAACGTTTTAAATCTGAATGTAACAATTCCTATTCTATAGCTTTTTCTAACACTGTATCTTCCTGTTTTTACCAGTCAACAAAACTATGAAGTTAGCATAGTCAGTCATTTTTTGGTATTTGTTCCCATTTTACAAAGGAAAGAATGGGCTAAGAGAAAATGCCTTGCCCAAGGTCACAGTTAAAGAGATCATAGGAGCTATCTTGAGTCCCTGTGTAGTTGCACTGAATCATCCAGTTAACTATATACTTATTTCTTGAGCAGCTGCTGTGTCTTAGACATTGGGAATATACTAAAGAACACAACAAAGTCCATGTCCATTCTCAGAGTTTATAGTTTAATAAACTGTAAACCATTACAATATAGTATGACAAGGTGGGGGAGTACAAAGGACTGTGGGAACATTCAGAGGGGCTGTTGGAAACAACATATAACATTCAGAAACACCTAATATCGGGCTCAACTTAAACACTGCCATAGCTATGTAAAACCTAAATTTTCCATCTTCTTTGGAAGTCTGCTAATTTTCAAAATTTAGGCCTTCACAGCCGCAAGCTAGCCACTTACAGCTGGTATTTGCACACTCTGGGTTGAAAATTAACTCAGCTGTGGAAAGAACTTGTTTTACCACAGCTGCAGAAATAGATCTTATACCATTCCTTTCATAGGCCTGTTGAAGTACTGCTCTCAAAGTTCCTGATGCACAGTAGGTGCTGAATAAATGTTTGTTCAATAAATGAATAAAGTCTCCCCAAATCAAGCCTCCCATTGAGTTGAAGGAGTCCAATCTGTCCAAGATCAACCTGCTACTAATGCATTACTTTGCCTAAGTGTGGATTTCCTGGTATTGCTGTGGCCTGGGCAGTGTTGCTATTATTTCATTTCATTTAGTTTTTCCTTATCCTTTACTGACTGAACATATTCTCCAAAAAAGGGAACTTTTTATTTTTGCTCTAAAACATGAATTACCAAACATCCATATCTAGAACTTTTATAAGAGGCACGAATAATCCCCTGTATTATTTCTAAGGGTGACCTTGAAACTACAAGATCAAACATGTTGAGATATAGTAGATCTTTGGCTTTATGGTTAGATATATTTATAATATTTTGTAAAGTGTGGCAGTTTCTAATGGTTTTAGGATCTTACTGGTATCATTCTTCAAGGGCAATTAATGATTTTAGTTATTTTATCCTAATTTTCAGGTAAAGAAGACACTCCCTCATTACTTGGTCTCTGTGGGTCTCTAACATCAGTAGCGAGTTACAAGTCTCTAACAAGCCTAAAATCTAATGACTACCTTGCAAGCCCTACAACAGAGATGACAAGTCCAGGCCTGACTCCATCCTGAAAAAATTTTATGTATTTTATGTAAAATCCAGATGTTTTTATGTTGTAAATGTTCAGTTTATCTAAGTTTGAGTGCTGGGAAGACGTTTGAAGTTTTATAGCTCTGGCACATGTCTGTAATTCTACTGTTTAAAGTCTACTCCATCTAAACTTATGAGTGAAAACTAATGATCCTGCCGTTTTTCAATTCTGAAATTCTCATCTTTGTTACTGAAGAATGTCATTGAGGAAGTTTTAAAAATGAATAGGCTTAAACAAAACCTTTAAAAAGATCCTCCAAATTAATAATCTAAAAACTGTATATATTTATTATTCAGCTGATTTTCATGTATTTGTTTAAATGTATCTTAGTCACCAGAGACTGGGTTTGAGGTTCTCTTCCAGAGAGTTAAGCTAAATATTTTTTCACTCATCTATCCAATGATTACAATTTTCACAGAAAAATGACTTACACATTTCACTGTTTCATTAATTTCTTCCTAGTTCTAATGTTGAAATGCCTTCTTTTTAATATGAGGTGAAAGTCCTCAGCTGCAGTTACAGAGGCTTATTTGGTTTTCCTTTAACATTTATCATTTGGTATCAACTTAACATTGTGTAAATTTTGTAGGAATGTGCCTTTTTAGGCTGTTACTAATTTGTTAAGGTCATAGGGAAAGTATTTTAACAGTATTTTAGGCCATTTAGGTAAACTGAATAGATAAATATCTTATCTTTGTTTCCCAAGATTTTATTAAAAAGATTTATTTAAAAATACAATCAAGTAGGTCTCAAAAGCTGAAAGTATTTAAAGATGTAGACAAAATGTTGAAAAGCATTTTATCAAGAAAGATTTCAAATTAAGGATTTGAGAAGCTTTTAAATAAGGACCAGTAGGTTTATCATCATACTTAACACTCAATATTGGTGGGACATACAGTACTATTTTTTCTCCCTTTTGCAACAAGTGAATTGTGATGTTTTACAGCCTCTGTCATTAATCATGCTATAATCTCATTTTAAAACTGTTAATGTTAAAAATCCCTACACTTCTACAGGTAACAAATTTTCTTCCTAAAAGGGCTTATGATCCTTCTTTTAAATTCTTTGCCATTTTTACAACTGCAAATAATCATTTGTCACTAAAAATTCAACCATATTGAGAGAAAATGTATTTAGTATATTTTCTATAGGATAGAGGAAAACATGATTAGTTGTGCCAAAGAAGTTTTATATATTGTTTACATGAAGAAGCTACAATACTTATAGAGGACTTCCTATGGTATTTTTGTTTATTAAATAAAACATTACATTCAAGCTTAGTGGCTTTGACATAGGAAGAATGTTCCTCCTAAAACTATTTATTGAGAGGAGACAGAGCTCTGAACTTTGTCACTTATTCTTTATATTGGCAATGTAGGACAATGGTGATTCCCTGCAATATTTACAGCTTGGTCTCAGAATTTGGAATTTAATAAATAGTAACAAGGCTAGTCTTATTTATAAAACAATCCAAACTATGTCATTTCAAGGACAAAGAAGGCCTGGAAGTCCTTAAAGTAAGTTATCCTAGATGTGCCAGAACACACACACAGCTTTCTTCATTTAGTTTAAGGCTTTAATACTTGTAGAAACGCAAATAAATATTTTGGAGAAAGAGTACCTTTAATCTGTTCTCAGTCCTGAATAGCTTATTGTGAATGAGGTATCCAAAGCAGTTTTGAATCTGCATGGGGGATGGAAGGTATAAAAATGAGGGCAATTGGAAACCCTGGGAGGTGTGAGTGAAGAAATGGTTAAGGAGGGGAACTTCAAAAATTTTAGGCTGGCCTTGAGCACTACTGCTGCTTTCCTAAGAACTATCAGAATATTCAAATGCTTTATCATTCATGGTCCACTCTCAGCTGACGTTTATGATCCTTTAGTAATAATTTTTAAAAAAATCATTAAATTTTTCCATACATTTTTATAAGAAAGGAAATTCAAGATTCCATAATTGATAAATTTTTTCAGATTTGTCTAATGTATATAGTTAATGTGTGCATCTTAACATGCTGCTAAATGCAGATTTAAACATGACATCTGAGGATCATGACTTTGCCTCCTTTCTTGGAGCTCTTGGTATAAAATTCATCTGCTATTGTAAAATTCAGGTTTCTACACAGTTCATTTCACACTAGTTATAGAGGTATTTGTTAATGTTTGCATGAGGAAACAATGTATGTCTCAATCTTTAATTTTAGGTGGTAGTGTTTATTCATTTAAAAAAAAAAAGAATGCTGAATTATATGCCAGTATTTCCACGTGTATTTTGTTGCCTTGATGTACTATATTTGTTGCATGTATAGTAAACATTTTGTACAATGGCATTAGTGGTCTTTTATTCTTGACAAAAAGTTACCTGACAAGTTGTACACTGAATTTTGTTTCAACAAATATGGCACGTGTATTATTTCTCACCTAAAATACTATACTGAAAATGGAATTTAGAGAAATCCTTACTTCAAGTCATACCAAATTGAATACTCTTTTTGTTAAAAATAACATGATATGCTTTAAAAAAAAAAAAAAAAATCAAACCCATTCCCATCTAGTTGATTCCAATGCATAGTGACCCTATAGGACAGAGTAGAACTGCCCCGCTGGTGGATTCTAACTGCCGACCTTTTGGTTAGCAGCCGAGCTCTTAACCACTGTGCCACAAGGGCTCAGGCAATATCTATTGAAGCACAGTTTAGTAGTGGTTCTGGTAGGATTAACTGATTTAGTTATGTAATAGCCATGTTTGTTTTCTCATCTGTAAAATGGAAACATCACCATATTCTTGCCCCATACATGATGGCACCAGGATGTCAGCATTAAATGAAACCATATGTATAAGCTCTGAAGATGTACATTTCAAATGCAAGCTACTATTATGGTTGACAGAAACTTTAAGTAAAACCAAGTCAGTTTAATTTGTCATCTTTATTAGATTTACATACAAAATTTCAAGTGGTTATGAATGTGTCTCAGATTTACAATTTATTGTAATCCTGTGGTAATGATCGTGTTAAACATATTGGATTACCTCTGAAATGTCACATGGCTACTCTGAACATCAAGGGCTGTTTAAAATTTTAAATCTGTTCACTTATATTTCTTAGTGAGCAAAGAAGCTTCTATTTAGCCTTAGCATTTATTCTTTTAACTGGTAGGAAGGAGAAGATAAGTTTGTATCACTGTCATTATGGCATTTTTAAAAAGTATATTTTAATCCAAACCAAAACTTTCGGATTATTTCTAAATAAGTTACCTTATTTTAAGTCCCATTTTCCGTACTGCCACAGGTCTTTCTAAAACTCAAGTCTTAATTGTTACAGCTATGCCAATAATCCTTCCTTGGTTTCCTATTACCTTCTTTTGCACACAACTCCCCTGCTTATTACATTTCCAGTCTGATCTACCACCTTCCCACGTATAGCCTTTGTTCAAGCCACATGGATTTAAGTTCACTTCCCTTACTGGGATGCCCACCTTCCCTTATGTTTGATTAGATCACCTGCCTGTCCTAATCTTAGAAGCATTTCCTGACCAGTCTCTCTCTACCCCAGGCTAAGTGAAGAGTTCCTCAGTTTTCCATAACCTCCATTGCATATTTCTATCAGTCATAGCTCTCAGGCCTCTTGTGGGCAGTATCTGAAAAGCCTTCTTATCTTCAGTGCTTTTTACACTGTCTTTTGGTTTTTACCATATGAAAAGTCTCAATGAATTATGAATGATAGACTAATAAATAAAAGCAGTATTTATTTAAAAAGTTCATCTGACAAAAAAATTCAAATGTGATACACTAAACTTTCCTCCATCCCTGGAATTTCTGCCCAAGAAAAAGGGAGGGAAGAATTTAAAAAGGAGTCATATGAGGTTAAATAAGCACAGTGAATAGTTTTCCTAGAAAAAAAAGAAAAATTAACTTTAACTCCATACCTACTTTTTTAAAAAAAAGTCTAATTTGAATTAAAGGTAGCAAATGTCTAATACTTGAGTAAGACATTTCTTCTTGAAGACATTTCTTCTTGAAAACATTACATTTAAGTAAAGTGTAAGAAAATTTAACATTACCTTAATGTTAATAGAATGAAAGCTGTTTTCTAGGTTTGCAAATACTTCAATTCCTGCAGCCTATGGCTGCTAACTGAAAGGTCAGCGGTTCAAACGCACAGCTGCTCTGTGGGAGAAAAATGTGGCAGTCTGCTTCCATAAAGACGTACAGCCTTGGAAACCCTATGGGGCAGTTCTACTCTGTCATACAGGGTCACTATGAGTCACAGTTGACAACAGAGTTTTTGGCTTACGTCTTAAAAAGACTGGGGAATTCATGGTTGAAAGTCAAATTTGTCTATTGATCTGAAGTGAAATCTGGAAATATTTAGTCACTGCCAATATAGTTCAATTACTTTACAAGACAGAACTCTGGGAGGAAATAAAAAATTTAATATTTTAGTCATTCATGGACTGAGTTTATCCAGGTACTCTTTCAGTTAAAAAATGTTACTAGGCAAAATGTTGAAATAATTTCTAGCAAACACTTCTTTGTTGCTAATTTTTTTTTTATTTAAAAAAATATATTAGTGCTTCTTTACCTCTTAAATGTACAGAAGACTTGAATTGAGCCTTCTTTTCATCCAGATACATTGTATGTAACATGTTAGAAACATTACCAGGCAATTAGATTTATTTAACTTATTTTAGTCATAAATGAGAAGAATTTTCCTCAAGTGCAGGATGGGTAGGGAAAATGGAAACTTTCCTTCTGATATTTATAAGTGATATTTAAGTTGAAATCTGTGGCTGCTTTTTGAGAACATAGTTCTAAGTTTTTCTACCTATCAATTATCAAAAAGAAGCACAGCAAAACCACAGTAATTTAAATTTAATACTGTTAACCAGCAATGTTTGAGATAAACCTCCATATATATACAGTATAGCATTATTTTTATTTGAAAATATTTGACTAAATGCACAATGATAATTTGAAGAAGGCATAAAATATTCTAATAAAAATGTAAGTTAATATATATTTATATGAATGTGTATTTTGCAAATTTAAGGTAAATCAACACAGGATAAAATAAATACAACTACATACAAACCCTATATAGTTTGTTTCTGGTGAAACACATAAACTCCTACTTTAACACAAAATGTATTAATTGCCCTACTGAAACCAGAGAAGATTTGTCACCTAAATATATTACTCCATTTTAGAAAAGAAAATGCTTCATATTGTCATAAAGTACACATAGATTGCAATAAAGTGTTTTTTCTTATAGGATATAGACCATCCTGAGAAAATCAAACAATGTAAAAAAATATCATTTCTTACCCTGCCATCATATTCTTTTTTATTTCATTCCTACATATATTCAAAAGCTAAATCACTTGGGCATTAGCCTACAGTGAGGGACAGAAACCAATTTCTTCAAGGAAACTGCTTCCTGTTTAGTCTCTTGGTCTAGCATACTAATGTGAGATGGCATGAAATTAGAGGACATTTTGAAATATTTTGTGACCAAGGCAGTAGTAATCTCTATAATGTTACAACAAGCCATTAGAAATGATCGAGAACTCCATGAACAATGATACTGGAATTACAAAATGGTTAAAAACCAGAGGCCCATCCCGTACCCAAACTTTATTTTTACTAGTCTAAATGCAGTGTGGTTTTCCACTGCACACCTAAGTTTGACTGAAGTTAACATTTACTCCAATCAGTAAAAAAACTCCCTCTCTCATAGAAACAGTAGTTAACTATAAAATAGCCACACCTTTGATTAGAGAAATCCTAATACATGTAAGGCCTTAAAACAGTAATATGGGGTAAAAAAAACTAATGCATTCGGATTAGTCGATTCTGATCATAGCGACCCTTTAGAACAGACTAGAACTGCCCCATAGGGTTTCCTAGACTATAATCTTTATGGAAGCAGATCACCAAGTATTTTCTCCAGCAGACCCTCTGGTGGGGTTCGAACCTCCAACATTTCAGTTAGTTGCCAAGCACTTAACCATTGTGCCACCAGGGCTCCTTGCATTTGGGCTAAAGAATGAACTAATAGGTAATGTTTGGTAAATGTGAATAATGGTACTTAATGACTACCTTCTAGTATCTGCTTTACTGAAATGAAATACTTAAATATCTCAATATATATGATTTACATTTGCAAAAAAGACTCGGAATGTTTTTCTTCTAGACTCTGTACAACATTCAGCACACAATTCAAAAAGCTGTGATGTAGCTAATGCACTCCAACAAGATTGTTACACTAAAACTTAGATGAATCAAACTTGCAGAGATTATTGCCTTCAGTACTAAAGTAGTTTTTCTTTTACTATAAGAACACTCAACAGTTGTGATTTCTGGAATATCTTTTTCAGTATCTCAAAAATCAGGATAACAAAGTTAATTTTAAATTTAGGATTATGTTTGAGAGGGAATAATAACTACTCATTTAAATTACATGAAGGAAAAACATCCAATCATTTTAAGATAAATAACAGTGGGAAAAGTTCTTGCCTAACAGTCTCCATTTTATTATTTGGCTATGGTTATTATTTCAAGTTGAAACAACATTACTAGCAATCATTGCTGGCTTCGAACATTTTGTTTCTGGAAAAAAGCCTTCCCAAATTCATATGTACTGATCATAATGGCACAAGCAGGAGCAATTTTAATTAAACGAGGAATTAGGCCTGAAAAGAGAATAAGAATCATCAGAAGAAAATTTACCTTATTTTTTAAAATGTAATTTATTTGGCTTTATTCTGCTACACTCAAAATAAATGAAGTGATATATCAAATATCATGCCAAAAACTGGTGGCAAAGAACCACCCAAATAACTCACTCTTAACCCTCTCACACTTCAATTCTTATCACTTTACACAGAAATTTTATTTTATTGGTAGTAAAACTACTGTATTTTAACTTTCTTTTAATTTATAGCAAAGATATTTAGGAGAAAATCATAAATGTGGAATGCTTTCCTGTAACTTCCTCCTGAAAGTTAATTTTAGAAGGTGTTGGGTATACAAGTAATCATTGTATTCAATGATTCAATAAAGCAAATGTTTTTACCTGTAAATAATCCAGAAAGTCCATTTTCACCAACAATGTTCTTCATTATAGCCCAGGTTGACATATTTGAAGGCACAGGCACTAAATGTTAAAATAAAGAAATAATGCTAATATGGAAATAATTTCCAATACAAATAATACATATAAAATAGTGTTTCTGTCCTGTAGGGGGTATATAATTTCATTATAATAAGGACAGACCTGTTCCCCTGAAGAGCTATTTTAAAATCTTATTTTTAATAGCTGGACCCATTAAAAAGAAAAAAAAATAGAAAAAAGATGTAAGTTCAAACGTGTAGGACTGGAAGAATCAAGGAAGAACACACAGAAGGCCTCTCCTGAACTGATAATGTTCTGTTACTTAAGGCTGGTGGTAGCTATTCTTTATACCTTTTTGCACATCTTAAATCTTTAAAAGATATATAGAAACTTTCATTAGGTACCTAATGGCAAACAGAAGTCCTGATAACCGTTTTTAATTTAAATTTTTATTGCACACATTTTTTTTTTTTTCCTAAAAAGAGGTTATGAGGAAAAGAGCCCATTCTCCCTAGTTGGGACCCTGCTTTATTAAAACTTTTCTGAATAGATGTGCTAGTCTTGAAATAAATTAGATGAGTTCTGCATCCTTCAAAAGGAGATAGATATATCCCTTAGCCAACAGTAACACCTCAATTATTTGTAACCTCTCAAATATCTGGAACATAGTAAAAACAATGAATTTATTAAAAAAAAAAAACAGTAAAAGTAGATGTCACTGAAGTTTGAACATTAGAGTTTATGAATGAGGTTTTCTTACGCAAAGTTCAGGTATCTTCATTTTACGTGTTAATTCTAAGCTAGCTTAGCCCACAGACTACTAGATGCAATAAGTTAAAAAAAAGAATCTGCTAAGAAACAGGCATACTACCATGTAAACAATTAACAAATGACAGGCTGAGATCAGCTGGTCATGGGCCAATAATTCTTGAATCACTTACTGATGAAGATCAAAAACTACAGCCTTCAGTATGGATTACACCTTAACATAAAGAAAACAAAAATCCTCACAACTGGACCAATAAGCAATATCATGATAAATGGAGAAAAGATTGAAGTTGTCAAAGATTTCATTTTATTTGGATCTACAATCAACGCCCATCAAAGCAGCCGTCAGAAAAACAAACAACATATTGCATTTGGCAAATCTGCTGCAAAAGATCTCTTGAACGGGTTAAAAAGCAAAAATGTCATCTTGAGGGCTAAGGTGCACCTGACCCAAGCCATGGTATTTTCAATTGCCTCATATGCATGTGAAAGCTGGACAATAAATAAGGAAGACTGAAGAATTGATGCATTTGAATTATGGTGCTGGCAAAGAATACTGAATATACCAGAGACTGCCAGAAGAACGAACAAAAACAACCAGAATGCCCATTAGAAGCCAGGATGGGGAGACTTTGTCTCATGTACTTTGGCCATGTTATCAGGAAGGACCAGTCCCTGGAGAAGGACATCATGCTTGGTAGAGGGTCAGTGAAAAAGAGGAAGCCCCTCCATGATAGACTGACACAGTGGCTGCAACAATAGGCTCAAACATAGCAATGACTGTGAGGATGGCTCAGGACCAGGCAGTTTCTTCTGTTGTGCTTAGGATTGCTATGACTCGGAACCGACTCAACGGCACCTAACAACAACCCTCAGTAGCTTCTGAGAGCAGAATTATAAAACTCCTCAATAATCAGTGTTTACATTGATGACAACGCTGAGGCATTAAGAAAGCTTACTACTAAGCATGCCTGGGGGAAAAAGGGAAATGCTCACAGAAAGACATCCTTCAAAAATGACTTTTTAGAATTTTGATACTTAATGGAGTGGAGCTCATTATCTTATGATTTCATGTATATAAAATATCAGATTCTCTGATTATGAAGGCAAAGGAAGCCTATAATTTATTTAAGAAGCCACATCATCAGTATAAATAGTATAACAAACATAATAAATATAGTAACGTAACGGAAAGGACATTTAATAAAACTGAGAACCACATATTTATGAAAGAAATTTAACTCTAAACAGTCAATGACAAGAACTTTATACTACAAGTTGGCAACTTTTACTTTATGTTTATTTCATTTAAATTTTGGAAACAACTTGTGAAAGAAAATCAGGTAGCCAGGTATTTCTAATCTTGTAGAATGCAAGTCCCAAACTAGTTTCTATTTTTAAGGCAGATTTAATTACTTTAACGTGAGAGTATCAACTGATTGTAAGCCATGGCAAAGTACTAGTGGAACCTCAAAAGCCTACAGTTCAACATTAAAGAGCTATTCCTACAGGTAATAAGCAACTTCTTACATTGTAAAGAATCAACTTTATTATGAAACATTCCAGCATAAAGTATAAAAAATAGTAAAACACCCACTTAATGACCATCCAAATGTATTAAATCTTAACAACTGTATCTTTCAAATACAGCTGAAGCTCCCTGTATATCCCCCCCAGTCTTATTCCTTCTCTCTTCCCCAAAGGTAAACACTCTCTTTTTTCTTTAATCTTCCTCATGCACTGTTTAAACTTTTACTATATCTGAACATATCCAAAAACAATATATACTCTTGCTTTTTGTGTTTTTCAACTTTATATAAATGGTATCACAAACACATTTACTCCTGTAATGTGCCATTAGGATTATCTACATTGATAAGTATAGCTATATTTTATTCATTTTAATTCCTGTATGCTATCTCATTATATGGATTATCATAATTGATTCATTTTCCTTCCAAGGGACATTTTTAGGTGGTTTCCAACTTTGTGATACTATTAATAATCCTGTAATGAATATCCTTGCACATATTAAAAAGTTTCTCTAAACCAAAAATAAAAAAAGACAAACCCATTCCCGTCAAGTCAATCCTGTGACCCTATAGGACAGAATAGCACTGCTCCATAGGATTTCCAAGGCTGTAAATCTTTACAGAAACAGACTGCCACATCTTTCTCCCACGGAATGGTTGGTGGGTTCAAACTACTGAGCTTTTGGTTAGCAGTCGAGCGCTTTAACCACCACTGTGCCACCAGGGCTCCTCAAAGTTTCTCTAGGTCACATAAATAGGAGTGGAATTGCTAGGACAAAGGACATATCTTGATACTGCCAAATCGTTCTCCAAAAGAATGGTTCCAACTTTATACTCTCACTAGCAGGGCATGAGAGTTCCCACTACTCCACATGCTCCCCAACAATTCAATGCATATAAAAGTCCTCTCACTACTGTTCTAGTTGACGTTTTTCTAATTATTACTAAGATTGATCATTTTTTTCTTAAGTTTACTGGCAAAGTACAACAACTTTTTAAAGATTCTTTTATTTCTCAAGTGTTTTAAAATACTGAATATGTTCAGAGAAAAAAGTTAACCTCTGGAAAACAGGTGGATTTGAGTCACATTTAAAAAGCTGAAACCAGAGATTAAATTTTTAAAAACTAAATATAAATAACACACTTGTAAATGAGGTCAAAATTACCTCTATAGTAGGATCTGGCACTTACTACATCCTAAAATACCTGTGTAAGCAGCTTCTCCTCTACTAGATAATGAGTACTTCGGGGGCTTGGATATTGATCATTTATCTGTATGTCTCAGTGTGGTGCCTAACACAGAGTAGGCACTCAGTAGTAGTTGCATGAAGAATGGGAGAAGTGGTCTAAGTGGGTTTATATAGAAAAAATAACAAAAACAATTTAGCTTCTGAATAACAAAGATAATTTTATCTTCTATATGGCAAATACAAGACTTAACTGATGGCAGACAAGTACATCAGACTTGAAGATCACATTATTTTTTTATTGGGTTTAAAGTATTTTTTCTGGGTATTACACTTTTAACAGTATACAAGTTTCATTAAAATAAATAAGGCAGCAGGGGAAAAACAAGCTTGTTTTCCCTATTTTAGATATTCTTCACTTAATAACTGGAAAAAAAAAATTTATGGCATCTTAAAAACGTTTTAAATTAATTGAACTTACTTTTGTGACTTTCATACATCCAAAGTTGCGTCTGCTTTTGTGTTTTTACCACATCAAATGGTAAAGTTGCAACAGCTGCAAACTATCAGAAAGCAAAATTGATTAAATCTACCTTTAAATTTTTCCTAAAATATTTTTCATTCTTCTAATTAGCACATTATTTCACATGGATAATAATAAAAATCATAACTAAACCAAAACTTAAAATGAAACCAGATATATTTAAAGAGAAGCTCTTATTAAAGAAATTAGAGACATGTCCTAAGTATTCCTCACAACACTCCAGAGTAAGTAAATAAAACTCAGTTTCAGGAAATTTCTGTCATTCTCCAGAGGTCACACAGCTATTAGTGGCAGAGCTAGAATCCCAACTAGATCTTTCTGACCTCAAAACAAGTGCTCACAAGTTCTGATGCCCCTCTGAGTTCCATTATTCCTTTACTACACATGAAGGTATATGTATACTTGAAGTAAGCATTTAAAAATTTCCAGCAAATGTTTTAAAAAATAGAATGAAAAAATTAAATTTAAATAAATAAATAAAACAGACTTTTAACTTTTAGTTCCATGACCTTTTATTTATAGGTTTCAACCTATTTATCAATATAGTTACAATAGTTCACTTATATTTTTTTTTTTTATTGTGCTTTAAATGAAAGTTTACAGTTCAAGTTAGTTTCTCATACAAAACTCTACAGACACACTGCTATGTGATCCTAGTTGCACTCCCCATACTGTGACAGCACACTCCTCCTTTCCAGCCTGGATTTCCCATGTCCATTCTACTAGCTTCTGTCCTTCTCTGCCTTCTCATCTCGCCTCCGGACAGGAGCTGCCCATTTAGACTCATGTAGCTACTTGAGCCAAAAAGCACACTCTTCACGAGTATCATTTTATGTCCCATAGTCAAGTCTAATCTTTGTTTGAGGAGTTGGCTTTGGGAATGGTTTTAGTTTTGGGCTAACAGAGAGGCTGGGGGCCATGTCCAGGGTCCCTCCAGTCTCAGTCAGACCATCAAGCTGGTCTTTTTGCGGGACTTTGAGTTCTGCACCCCACTTTTCTCCTGCTCTGCCAGGGACTCTCTGTTGTATTCCCTGTTAGGGCAGGCATTGGTGGTAGCTGGGCACCATCTAGTTCTGGTCTCAGGCTGATGGAGTCTCTGGTTTATGTGGTCATTTTTGTCTCGGGCTAATATCTTCCTTGTGTCTTTGGTGTTCTTCATTCTCCTTTGCTCCAGGTGGGCTGGGACCAATTGATGCATCTTAGATGGCTGCTCGCTAGCTTTTAAGACCCCAGATGCTACTTGCCAAAGTGGGATGCAGAACATTTTCTTAATAAACTTTGTTAAGCCGATTGACATAGATGTCCCCTGAAACCATGGTCCCCAGACTCCCGGCCCTGCTACTCTGTCATTCAAAGTGTTTGGCTGTATTCAGGAAACTTCTTAGCTTTTGGTTTTGTCCAGTTGTGCTGACTTCTCCTGTAGTGTACTGTCCTTCCGTTCACCTAAGATAATTCTTGTCTACTATGTAGTTACTGAATATACCTCTCTCCCTCCCTCCCCACCCCTGTAACCATCAAAGAATGTTTTCTTCTGCTGTTTAAACCTTTTCTTGAGTTCTTATAATAGTGGTCTTATACAATATTTGTCCTTTTCCGACTGACTAATTTCACTCCGCATAATGCCTTCCAGATTCATCCATGTTATGAGATGTTTCATGGATTCATCGTTATTCTTTATCAGTGTGTAATATTCCATTGCGAGTTCACTAATATTTTAAAGTTTTCTCAAAAGCAACCAATTCAACAACTATTTCTATAATGCTTTAATTAAGCACAGGGGATCTTTTAAAAAAATAAATTGCTTTAAAAATGTTTTCACAATATTTGATAGGCACAACAGCCATGAAAAGTAACATTTGATTTCTAATTTTTGCTTCTCAATGTTTGTCCAATATCCTCATAAAATGCACCTTAAGATCATTTATATTTCATTTCACCCCACCAATTTGTTGACTTAAGTTCTTAAAATCAATCAAATCAATTTCAAAGATCTCAGGTAAAATAATTGTTTCTCCACCTCTACAATCCACCAGCAAAAAGTAGTTACAATGTTATATAAACCTCTTTCACACTTTCTAAAATGATACGGTTTGAGCGATCCGGCTTTCTGACAGAAAGCGTGGATACTGTCACATTGATATGCTTTTTCTGCTGCAGAGAAAAATCTTTATTTGAAAAATGTCAAAGGTAGTGACATTTTCTAGATCATTAAATAAAGAAAATCTTAGAAAATTTTTTTAAGTTAAGCAGGGTAGATAGTAAAATAGAGAACTTTTTTTGCTGAGAAGTTGGAACAACATACTGGAGTCATTGTATTATAACCCAGTATTCTTTTGATCTATTCAACAATCCTCATAGCTTTTCTTGCTCAATAGGCTTACAATCCACTAGGCTTAAACTGGACAGAGCTTGGACCTGAGAATATCCCTACCTACATTTTACACTCGCTACAGTAGCTTCTCATAGCCTAGGTTTTCTTAATTATTCCAGTATTTTTCTGCAGGTCTCCATCATTTCACTCTACCCCTTTCTCTCTTGTTTTTATGTGGTTCCAGTATGTCTATGTCTCATTGTAAGTCATCACAAATTCATTTTGAAAGTATGTGAGTATAAGAAAACTTTGTGGCCAAAGTCATGGTGATAAAAGTCTGCATCAATGAAGTCCTCTACATGACTTTCATTACGCGGAGGGGTGGGAAAGGTGTATTCTCTATTACCCAAAAACGATCATCTGAGATTCCTCCCTTCTCTGATTGTAATTTTTGTTGAAATTTTTTAATGAAGTACTTAACAAGTTGAAATGTTTCCAAAGAAACAGGAATTAGCAACAGAGGATAAAACTGCTTCTATTTAATCTGATTATAGATATGGGATGATACCTCATGAAATACTACCTAACCAGATCTACTGGTATTTAATGAACTAATGTACTGTAAAATGTTCTGTAAGTAATAAAGCACTATTTGAAGTATTGCTATTATTATTATAATAACAGATCAAACAAATTCAAAACTTTCTCAGAAAAATATAATTTATAATATAATAAAAACATAGAAACAAAGTACATTTTCAAATATTTTAATGGCTAATAACTTATTTCCTTAAAAAAAAGGATGGTAAATGCTTAGAAAATTTTTAAAGCAGTGCAGCTCAAAAGTGCTATCTCAATATATATGAAATACTACATAATATTTTGTTCTATTTTAAATAATTTGACAATTACCATGATTCTGAAATATCAACCACAAAAGAATAAACTCACAGAACCAGACAATGCCCCCGAAGTGAAGTTGATCATAAATGTTGGTTCATATAAATCAGATTTCTCACACAACCACTTCCTTAAAACTTCATAGTTATACCAGTACATTGCTATAATGACAGAGAATAAAAGGAATACATATTTAGAAATAAAATGTGAACTTTAAAGATTTATGATGTTATTATACATTAAAGGTAAAAAGAAATTCTAACCATGACACACCCTGCTTTCTGCTTACACACATACTAGATGGGATTGAAAAAAAAAAAAGGAACCAAATTCTCAGTAATATTCTAGCAGTCTTATGACAAAATGTATCAGTAAAGTAGGACCTTAATTCCAAAGCCTGACAAAGACAGTAATAGAAAGGAAAAGTATAGGCCAATGTTGCTCATGAACATAGGTGTACAAATCCTAAACAAATAATAATAAGCATGGATTGATAAACAACATCATGATAAATGGAAAAGAAATTGATGTTGTCAATGATTCCATTCTACTTGGATCAACAATCAATGTCCATGGAAACAGCAAACAATTCAAACAACGTATTGCTTTGGAGAGTCTGCTGCAAAAGACCTCTTTAATGTTTTAAAAAGCAAGTATGTCACTTTGATAACTAAGGTGTGCCTGACTCAAGCCATGGTCTTTTCAATCACCTCATATGCTGGACAATGTAAAAGGAAGACAGAAGAACTGATGCATTCAAATTGTGGTGCTGGGGAAGAATACTGAATATAATGTGGACTACCAGAAGAACGAACAAATCAGTCTTAGAAGAAATACAATCAGAATGCTCCACAGAAGCAAGAATAGCAAGACATTAGCACACTTATTTTTTCATCAGAAAAGACTCTAGAAAAAGACATTGTAGTTGGTAAAGTAGAGAGTCAGCAAAAATGAGGGAAACCTTCAATGAGATGAAACAGATTGAAACAATAGCCACAAAATGATCTCAAACAAACCAATGATCATGAAAATGGTGCAGGAGCAACATTTCATTCTGTTATATATTAGGTCACCATGAGCCAGAGCTGACTCAACAGCAACTAACAACAAATAATAAGCAAACTGAAGCCAGAAGTATTTCATAAAAGATTATATACTATCAATCAGTTGGGTTTATCCCAGTAATACAAAAGTATAGAATAAAATGCTATATAATAAACATAAAATAATAAATTAATATAATAAAATCTTTAAATGCTATATACAACATTAACAGATTAAATAAGAAAAAACGTGATAAGCTAAAATGGAAAAACATTTGATAAAACTCAACTCTTTCATTAAAAGCAATGAAATTTCTCAGAAAACTAGGAATAAACGGGAACTTCCTTAAGTTGATAAAGGATATATATCAAAAACCGATAGCAAAAATAATAATTAATGGTGAAATAACAGAACTATTTCTTTTAAAATGAAGAAAATGACAGAGATGCACATTATCGTTAACTGCTATTCAAAACTGTGCTAGGCAGCAATTAGATGAGGAAAAAAATAAAGGTAAAAAGGATTAATAGTAAGAAACAAAACAGTCATAATTTACATACACTATTATTGTCTACATAGAAAACCCAATGTCTACATAGAAAACCCAAAAGACAGTGTGACAAATGAGAACCCATAACAGTTTTAAAAGGTACCTGGATATAAATAGACAAAATTCAATTATAACTGGACCAGCCACAAATATTTAGAAAACACACTTTTTTAAAAAACTGAAATAGCTACCAAAAGTTGGGAGGGGAGGGGGGTGTAAAGAGTACTTATAAACAAATCTAAAATAAAAATGATGTATACAACTTTTATGAAGAAAACTTTAAATCTCTATTGAAAGACTATGAAGAAAATTTATAAACATAAAGAGACATACCAAGATTGTGGATGGAAAGATTCAGTATAATAAAGTTGTCAGTTTTCCCTAAATTGATCTAGAGATAAAATGCAATTCTAATGAAAATGGATTTTCCATGGAACCTGACAAGATAATTCTAATATTCATATGTAGAAGTTAGGGCCTAAGAATAAAAAAGATATTCCTAGGTATTATGGATTGAATTGTGCCCCCCAAAAAATATGTGCTGTAAATCCTAACTGCTATAGCTGTGGAGAAGGAGCCCTGGTGGTGCAATGGTTAGGCACTCAGCTACTAACTAAAAGGGTTGGTGGTTCGAACTCATCAGCTGCTCCAAGTGAGAAAGATGTGGCAATCTGCTTTTGTAAAGATTACAGCCTAGGAAACTATATGGGGCAGTTCTACTCTGCCCTATAGGGTCACTATGAGGGAAAATCGACTGGAAGTCACACATTTGGGAACAGGGTTTTCCTTGTTATGTTAATGATGCCATATCAGTATAGAGTGTGTTTTAAGTCAATCACTTTTGAGATATAAAAGGAGCAGATTAGGCACAGAAGCAAGGAAGCACAGATAGGGGAAGATAGATGCCATGCCATATGAAGATCACCAAGGAATGAGGAATAGAAGGTGAAGAAACAAGGATCTTCCACCAGAGAAGACAGAGAGCCTTCCCCTAGAGCTGGTGCCCTGAACTCAGACTTCAAGCTTCCTAAACTGAGAAGATAAATTTCTGTTCATGAAAGCAAACCACCTGTGGTCTTTCTGTTATAACAGCACTGAGAAATAAAGACACTTGGGAAGAAAAATAGGGTGTCATCAAGAGATCAAGATTTGGTATAAAGCTATAATAATTTAGACATGTGGTACTGGCACAGGGTTAAATTACAAATAAAACAGACTCGTGCATACATGAAAATTTGATGTGACAGAGGTGACACTGCAGATCTCTGGAGTAAGTATGATTATTCAATATATTAAACAGGGCAAATGCCTATCCATAAAGGGGAAAATGAGACTGAATCCCTATTTTAATTCATAACCCCAAATCAATACAGATAAATGAATGCCAATAAAATAGTGCCTGATCTCATTAATAATCAGGAAAATGCAAATTAAAGTGAGATACCACTTAAAATCACTAGATAAGCAAAAATTAAGAACTTTGATAATAAAAGCGCTGGTGTGAAGCAGCAGGAAATCTCATACATTGTTGGTGGACATATAGATTCTTTCGATTACTTTAGAAAAGAATTTGACATTACCTCGTAAAATTAAAAATGCACATACTTATGTGAACCAGAAAAGCCATTACTGGAGAAACTCTTGTACATATGCACCAAGAAACTGTTTAAAAACGTTCACAGCACTTGTTTATTCATATATAAACAAGAGTAAAAAGGAAGAAAACACAGTACATATAAAAATAATAGTGAATCTTTGGAAAATTTTAGGGTTAAAAAACATTCTTTAAAACTCAAAAACAGGCAAAACTAAAAAGTTTTTTTTTTTAGTAATACATACATATTTGGTAAAACTAGTACTTTTAATCAAATGAATGACGAACAAAAATTCAGTATAGTGGTTATGGGGTGGGACAGTAGAAGAGCACATACATGGTTTCATGATTTAGAAATCGTAATGTTCTTGTTTATAGGTTGAAGTGGTAAGTTCACAGGTATTCATTTCATCAATATACTTCATAACTTACTTCTGTGTTAGTTTTGATGTAACAAACACCATATAATAAAAAAGTAAAGAAAGAATAATTGGCCTAGGAATCTATGGTTAATTACATATTGTATGTTTCTAAACAGCAAAACTGAAAACAAAAGATTGAAGAAAAATACTAATGAAAGGGGAAGGATGGGTTGAGATGTAGACAAAAAACAGCACACATACACAGGAAATAAAAAGAGAAAAAGAAAGAAATAGGAATGTTAATATAGGTCGCCAATAAGTATTTTTTTCAGGTCTTGAGGAGAAGCTTCTATGAAACACTACTAACGGAAATAGTACTACAGTATGCAAGTTCTACAAGTTATTTGTTACTTTTGTACTTTTTCCTTTTCATGATTTTATAATGATTAATAAGATCTCCTATCTGATCTATAAGAGCCTACTCATTTAATGATGTTTTTATCTTTTATAATGGAAAAAAGTAGAAGTCAATATAATTCATGGTCTTAAATACATTTTACAATATTTAGATTTGTAGTAGTTTACCTACCTTACTAATTATGACTTATTTAGAATAATTTTAAAGGTAGTTTGCATTCTCTGAAAACAAAATCATATCAATTAATCTTTAAAAGAGAGTTAAATACAAATAGAAAATAAGGCTTAAATTAGAAACATTCATTAATAAAGACTCATAAAGACCTGAGAGCCCACTACTGAACTAAAGAAGACAATTTACTTTTAAGCTTAAAAGGGTTTAAAATCTAGTTACTACCTAAAATTTGGCAGAGTGTAGTAAGACAACTCCTACCTGAGAAAGGTACATCTCTAAGAACAGTAGGAGCCCAGCCTCTCCAAAGGGAAATCCAACCATCTTCAGACACTTTCTTGCTGACAAATCGATGCAGTTCCTGGTAAGAAAACTTCTTAGACTGCATCTTGGTTCTAATCAATTCTAGTGGACTTATCACAGTTACTGCACCAACTAATAAAGACAAGCAAATAGAAAAAAAAAAAAAAAAAAAAGCCATGTAATATGCAAAAACACGTGTAAAAATGAATATTTCATGATGTTTAAAATTTTTATTCTGAAATGTCTGTAAAACTTAAAATCAAATCTGTAATGACATCAATTATCGTCAAAAAGAACATTTCCAGATCTATTCTGAAGCACAATGCTGTCAGTGATAGGATAATATCCATACCTCTACAAGGAAAAGCAGTTAATACGAATATCATACGAGATTATGCACCAATCACTAATGCCAAAGGTGAAGAAACTGAAGATTTTTACCAACTTCTGCAGTCTGAAACTGATCGAACATGCAATAATTACTAGTGATTGGAATGAGAAAGGTGGAAACAAAGAAAAAGGATCTGTAGTTGGAAAATATTGTCTTGGTGATAGAAACGATACTGGAGATCACATGATAGAATTTTTGAATACCAACGACTTCTTCATTGTAAATACCTTTCTTCAACAACATAAACGGCGACTATGCACGTTGACCTTGCTAGACAGAATACAGAGGAACAAAATCGACTACATCCGTGGCAAGAGATGATGGAGAAGCTCAAAATCATCAGTCAGAAAAAGGCTAGGGGCCAAATGCAGAACAGACCATCAACTGCTCATATCCAAGTTCAGTTTGAAGCTGAAGAAAATTAGAACAAGTCCACGAGAGCCAAAGTAAGACCTTGAGTATATCCCAACTGAATTCAGAGACCAACTCAAGAACAGATTTGATGCACTGAACACTAATGACCAAACACCAGACGAGTTCTGGAATAATATAAAGAACATCATACATGAAGAAAGCAAGAGGTCATTATAAAGACAGGAGAGAAAGAAAAGACCAAAATGGATGTCAGAAGAGACGGTGAAATGTGCTCTTGAATGTCAAGAAGCTGAAATGAATGGAATAAACGATGAAGTAAAAGAGCTGAACAGAATATTTCAAAGGGTGGCTCAAAAAGACAAAGTAAAGTATTATAATGATATGTACAAAGATCTGGAGTTAAAAAAGCAAAAGGGAAGAACTCGCTTGGCATTTCTCAAGCTGAAAGAACTGAAGAAAAAATTCAAGCCTCGAGTTGCAATACTGAAGGATTCTATGACGAAAACATTAAACGTCTCAGGAAGCATCAAAAGAAGATGGAAGGAACACAGTTACTATACCAAAAAGAATTGGTCGACGTACAAATCATTTCAGGAGGTAGCATATGATCAAGAACTGATGGTACTGAAGGAAGAAGTCCAAGCTACACTGAAGACATTGGCAAAAAACAAGGCTTCAGGAATTGATGGAATACCAATTCAGATGTTTCAACAAATGGATGCAGTGCTGAAAGTACTCACTCATCTGTGCCAAGAAATCTGGAGGACAGCTACCTGGCCAACTGACTGGAAGAGATCCATATTTATGCCTACTCTGAGAAAAGGTGAACCTATCGAATGTGGAAATTACCAAACAATATCACTGATATCACTAGGAAGTAAAATTCTGCTGAAGATCATTCAAAAGCGATGGCAGCAGTACATCGACAGGGAACTGCCAGAAATTCAAGATGGATTTAGAAGAGGACATGGAATGAGGTATATCATTTCTGATGTCGAATGGATCCAGGCTGAAAGCACAGTATACCAGGAAAGATGTTTACCTGTGTTTTGTTGACTATGCAAAGGCATTCAGCTGTGTGGATCATAACAAATTATGGATAACATTGAGAATAATGAGAATCTCAGAACACTTAATTGTGCTCACAAGAAACTTGTACATAGATTAGAGGCAGCTGTTCAAACAGAGCAACAGAATACTGTGTGGTTTAAAGTCTGGAAAGGTGTGTGTCAAAGTTGTATCCTTTTACCATACATATTCAATTTGTATGCTAAATAAATAATCTGAGAAGTTGGACTATATGAAGAAGAACATGGCATCAGGACTGGAAGAAGACTCATTAACAACTTGCGATATGCAGATGAAACAACCTTGCTTGCTGAAAGTGAAGAGGACTCGAAGCACTTACTGATGAAGATCAAAGACTATAGCCTTCAGTATGGATTACACTTCAACATAAAGAAAACAAAAATCCTCACAACTGAACCAATAAGTAACATCAGGATAAATGGAGAAAAGATTGAAGTCGACAAGGATTTCATTTTACTTGGATCCACAATTAACATTCATGGAATCAACAGTCAAGAAATCAAACGACGCATTGCATTGGGCAAATCTGCTGCAAAAGACCCCTTTAAAGTGTTGAAAAGCAAAGATGTCACTTTGAGGAGTAAGATGCGCCTGACCCAAGCCATGGTGTCTTCAATCGACTCATATGCATGTGAAAGCTGGACGATGAATAAGGAATACCGAAGAAGAATTGATGCCTTTGAGTTATGCTGTTGGCGAAGAATACTGAATATGCCATGGACTGTCGAAAGAATGAACAAATCTGTCTTGGAAGTACAGCCAGAAAGCTCCTTAGAAGCAAGGATGGCGAGACTCGTCTCACATAGTTTGGACATGTTATCAGGAGGGACCAGTCCCTGGAAAAGGACATCATGCTTGGTGAAGTGGAGGGTCAGCAAAAAAGAGGAAGACACTCAACGGGATGGGTTGACACAGTGGTCGCAACAATGGGCTCAAGCACAATGACAACTGTGAGGATGCCACAGGACTAGGCAGTGTTTCGTTATCTTGTACACAGGGTTGCTATGAGTCAGAACCAACTCGACGGTACCTAACAACAACGTCAATATAATGGCAGTTTTTCTGGTTTCAACTCTTTGAAGGGCAGTTCCAGAAATAGATTAGTACAAAAGCCTCATTGCTGTTGTTGTTGTTGTTGTTAGGTGCTGGTGAGTCGGTTCTGACTCATAGGGACCCTATGTACAACAGAACGAAATACTGCCCTGTGCTGTGCCATCCTCACAATCATTGCTATATTTAAGCCCACTTTTTCAGCCACTGTGTCCATCCATCTCGTTGAGGGTCTTCCTCTGTTTCCCTGACCATCTACTTTACCAAGCACGATGTCCCTCTCCAGGGAATGGTCCCTCCTGATAACATGTCCGAAGTACGTGAGATGGAGTCTCGCCATCCTCGCTTTCGAGGAACACTCTGGCTGTACTTCTTCTAAGACAGATTTGTTTGTTCTTCTGGCAGTTCATGGTATATTCAATATTCTTTGCCAACACCATTAATTCAAAGGCCATCAATTCTTCTTCAGTCTTCCTTATTCACTGTCCAGCTTTCGCATGCATGTGAGGTGACTGAAAACACCATGGCTTGGGGCAGGTACACCTTAGTCCTCAAAGTGACATCTTTGCTTTTCAACACCTGAAAGAGGTCTTTTTCAGAAGATTTGCCCAATGCAACACATCGTCTCATTTCCTGACTGCTGCTTCCATGGGCACTGATTGTACATCCAAGTAAAATGAAATCATTGACAATGTCAATATTTTCTCCATTTATCACATTGGTTAGTGTCCCAATAACTCTTACTTCCGTTGCACAGAGACAAATGTCCTGCCTAAAGACAAACTTCCTTATTTATTATTATTTTTAATAATATTTTATTGTTTTTGGTGAAAGTGTACACAGCAAGTTAGGTTCTCATTTAACAACTGCCACAGAAACTGATCAAAGACATTAGTTACATTTTTCACAATGTGTCAACATTTTCTTTAGTTGTGTTCTGGTTGTTCCATTTCCAGTACTCCAGTTTCCCCACCTCCTTACCTTCTCATCTTTGCTTCAGATTAAATGTTGACCTTTTAGACTCATACATACAGTTTTTTAGTACAGCACTGATCTATGGGTAATATCCTTTATTTTGTGTGTCACTCTGATTAAACTCTGAATCCCAAAGTCTACAAAGAAAATGATTCACGACTCTGGCCTGAATCATGTGTGGTCCCAAATGACACCTTGCTTGTTCAGGTGAATCAGAATGAATCCTGATATCATTCTAAAATCCCTGTCTAAGATTTGAGAGGGATGCGCTGATCCCATCTCATTCTAATGGCAATTACCACACCACGTGACTTCTAGAGTAGAGATATTAACAAATCAGTACAAACTATAATGCAAAATGTCTAATACCAATACTCTGTATGTGATTCGATTACCAATTATGCTGTAAATTCTCTGTGAATATTAAAATTTAAATAATAATAAACTCTAAAGAGAAATTAAAATGAAAATAGAGCATATTTCTTACTTACATCTGGCCACAATTCCAGCAACAATTGGTATGTAGGTTTCATTTCCTCCTAATTTAGATCTCAGAATAGCAGTTAATTGATCATAGCAGGTAAAATAAATAACTGTGGCAGGAACTGCCATCACTCTGTTAGAAATACACAAACAGTTGTTCAAAATTATCAGGTCTTAAACATGCCCAACTGTTATTAAATAGAAGGTAAAACCTTTAAATTTTGCATAACCCAAAACCTCAACAAATCAGCCTATGAGATTAATTCTTCTTTTATTTTAAAAATTGCTAGTGCCTAATTTGTTGCTATTAGCTGCCACTGAGTTGCCTCCCGATTCAGCCCAGCCCCATGCACAATGGAATTGGACCATAGTAATCCATAGGGTTTTCATTAGTGCTTAACTTAGTAGGCAATAAAAAGATATGACAAGTATCTGCCCTCTACAAATTTACATTCTACTTGTGAAAGTAAGTTACAATATATATAGCAGTAAATAAGTGTTATATACCCACACTCAGATCACATACAAAGCACATGCTCAAGTAACAAATAGGAAAAGACAAATGAGAACACTTCTCTATCTCCTTGACTTGTTCTGTTTCTGGTCTCCCAGATCTTCCTTCCCAGTTTCATTTACCATAACATAAGAATCACAGAAATAAAAAGTATAGTAGCAATTATAAAACATTTTTGAGCTATGGACTATGTATCATACCTATTATAACTGGAAATAAATTATAACTACCATCACCAGAATTATAGATACTAGTTTTGAGGGACTCCAGTGATGTATTCTTTTAAATGAAAATATCAAAAGGGAATTATTAACTTAATATGAATACAAATTTGAATTTGTTAAATTCAAACAAAATAGGTACGACATGTTTAATATTTAAGCAACAGAAAACCAGTCTACGTGTATGCTCTAACTACAATACTTTCACAAATCATACTTTGGGATGTCTAATGTTCTAAAGTAAAGTTTAATTATGAGAATTTAGGAGTAGGACTGACTGCTGGTCTTATATCTGTCACTAACTTTATAACCTTGGTGTTGTTAAAAATATTTGCCTCCTGACTGTGATCACAGCAGAGGGTCCTAGACAGAGTGGGAGAAAAATTGTAGAACAGAAAATCAAATTCACAAAAAAGACCAGACTTACTGGTCTGACAGGGACTGGAGGTACTCCCGAAACTATGGCCTTAAGACACCCTTCTGAACTGGAACTGAAGCCATGCCCAGATACCACCTTTCAGCCAAAAAACAGACAGCCCAAAAAATAAACAATAAAACCCAACAGGAACCTGTTCCTTACAACTATCGGTTGTATGAGATCAAAAGGGCAACATTTGCCCAAAAGCAAAGATGAGAAGGCAGAAAGGTGTAGAAAATCAGGGCAAAAGGAAACAAGGAACCTAGGTTGGAAATGGGGAGAGTGCTGACACATTGTGGCAAATGAAATCAGGCCATGGAACATTTTATGTACAAACTATTCAATGGGAAATTAAGTTGCTCTGTAAACTTTCACCTAATACACAATAAAAAAATTTTTTTTAAAAGAAAAAAAAAATTTGCCTCAAAATTAAGTAGTTGGCTCTATAAAAAGCATAAACTGAGTCCTTAGAAATGAGGCAGAGGGAAAAAAAAAGGCATTATTTAGAATTGTTTACATTCAGCCTTACTAGTTTATCATATTAATTCCTATAATAGCTATTTAGTAGACAATGAAAACTATCTTAGGAAGGGGAAGTATACATATTGCAACATATCTTAGAATGCATACATTTCTCAATGTTTTAGTAAGATAAAGGAAAAGCAAATGAACACCAAATTTCTAATTTCAGGACATGGAAAAAAAAAAAAAGAAATTATGCTTGTGTAGCAAAGACTTAACACAGCAGGCCTGGCCACTCAAATCTTGTATGTCTTCAGGACGGCCTATGCTTGCAGGCCTCACCTCTGACCAACTCCTGGGAATTTAGCTCTTAAATACTCCCTATGATAAGGTTGTTTTGTATGTTCGGAGCACTAAAACAACTTTTTGAAGTTGTTCTGTCCAAACAATGTGATTTATGGTAAATGCCTGCTTTCCTCCTGGAGTTCTGGAATATTGGCAATTGCGGCTAGTCATACAGGCAAAATGTGCCTACATGACCCCAATAAAAGCCTTTGGTTCTGAGACTCTAGTGGGCTTCCCTGGGAAGAAATATTTAGCACATGTTGCTGAAGTTCACTGCTAGAAGGATAAGCACATCCTCTGAGACTGCATGAGGGATGATTTTAGAAGCCTACACCTGGTCAAAGCCTGATTTTATTTTTTTCCCTTTACAGTATCTTTTTGTTGTAAAAAACCACAGCCAGTAGTATAACTTCATGTAGGTCCTGTGAATGCTTCTAGTGAATCACCAAATGTATGGGTTGTCATGGAACCCACAAAATAATACTTGAGAAAGTGAAAAAGTTCTAATATTAAAAATGCAAGACTTTATGCAACCATGCTGGTTATAAGATAAAACGACTATCACTTAGTACGAAAAATATTAAATTTCAACTTACAGGGTAGGGGGAAGGCCACTCCACAGGGATTTAATGCCCTCATTTCGAATGATTTTCAAAAAAGCATCCTAAAATTATAATACAAAATAGTAGTCAAAATACATCCCTGAACATGATATATAAAAAACGTACAGGGATAATTGATTGGTAATTTGACTCTTTTAAGCATTTATTTCTAAAATATGAGAGTTTGGATTTATGTATATCTACACATGGGGTTGCCATGAGTCAGAACTGACTCAATAGTAACTTTTTTTTTATTATTCTTAAAAAAAAAGGAATTTTTCTTCAACTTTCAAACAAAAGTAAAATGAAACATTTCTGAATGATACCTCCTGCTTATAGAATCAACTCTCTATTACTCAGTTCTAGATTGTTTTACTTAAGGATCAGAAATCAAGCTTTTCAAAGATTATTATATAAAGAAAATAAAGTAATGGCAGAGAATTGGTCAGATAAACTCTCATAAAGAAAACAATTGTGAAAACTGAGAAAAATATTATTAAAGCTCACTATTTGAAATCTCTGGAGAGGAGCCAAAAGCAGGCAGAACTGGAGGGAAGTCTACTGTTAAGAGACAATGGGTGAGATTTGCGAGCTTGCAGCTTGGTGGCAAGAAAACAGACATTTACTCGCTTGAGGCAGCAGAATACAGACACTGGGGGAGGTAGGTAGAACCATAATCAGAAAGTTAAGGAAGAAAGAAATCCTGGAAGAGAAGAAGCTGCATACGGCACAAGTCCCCAAATTTGCATATAAAATCAGCCACAAATATTGGCTGGGAAGACAGCAAAGGGACCTGGCAAAAAAGCAGCAGCTGAGGGCTGAGTAAACATTTTGCCTGCTGCCCACCACAGGGGAGTCAGAGTTTGGAATTTGAGTTCAGACAAAGTTTAATACCTTCTAAAACAATGGGTGAATTGTTAGACAAACTGTGGTACATCCATACCATGGAATACTACTCAGCAATAAAAAGGAACAAACGATAAATGCAACAACCTAGATGAAGCTCTAGAGAATTATGCCTAGTGGGGGGAAAGAAAGCAACCCCAAAAGGTTACATACATTATGATTCTGTTTATATAATATTCTTGAAATGGGAAAATTATGTAAGTGGAGAACAGACTGTGGTTGTCAGGGGTTAAGGAGCAGGTGGGAGCACAAGAGAAATGGCTGTGGTTATATAAAAGGCAACAGGAGGGATCTTTGTGCTGATGGAACTGTTCCGAATCTTGACTGTATCAATGTAAATGTCCTGGATGTGATATTGCACTATATATAGGTTTGCAAGATGTTACCACTGGGGGAAACTGGATAATCTGTAAATGGCATACACTGTATTCTTTTCTTATAACCGCATGCGATCTGTAATTATCTGAAAATAACAAAAGTTTAATTTTTTAAAAAGAGCAAAGTGGGCATTACACCGATAGTGCACTAATCTCAAAAGCATTAAAGAGAAGATGTATTTCTACCACTCAGGAAAATGTTTATACACTGGGTAGGCAGTTCTACATAACTTTTAAGATCCTTTCTATGCTTTACTTACTTGTTAAGACATCTAGAGCAAATCTTTTAACCTCCTTTGGGCTTAGTTTTCTCATTTGTTAACTGATAGAGTTGGATTAGATAATATTTATTACCATTTTCCACTTTAAAGCCCTTCACTTCCTTTGAGTCAGAAAAAAAGTTTGATGGAAAGGGGAAACCAAATTTTCTTTCTATATAAAAAGCTGAACCAATTAAACAAAAGTTAACTAAGAGTTAAAAAGCAAAGAAGTACTTTCTTGTTCCTACTTTGTTATCTACCTTTTAACTGTGGATAAGTGTGGTAGCTATAAAAGGGACTTCTATTCTCCTGCAATTGGAAAAATCTTTCATATGTAAGATTAAATATAAAAATAGAAAATATACTGTGATTATAAATAATATAATCTCCTTACCAACGTTCCTTGGAAACATCCTGGCTTCTTATACCATACTTTGTTGCTTCCCTCTTCACAGACACATAGATGATCCATAAGTCCATTACTATATACAAAGCATTGTCCTAACAAAAAAGATTTCAACAGTCAACAACTACTTCACTCAATTGTCTTTCACACATGAACAAACTGAAAGTACAATGAGGATACTACAAAGTTATGAAAACAGAAATAACTATATCTGTCTTTTAGGATGAAACATACATAATTAATTTGATTTGCTTAATAATACGGCACCAGGCTCTAAACTCACAGTTGTGGATAGTAATTTAGTAGTTAGTGGGTTTCACACTTTCAGACCTGTATTAAACAAATGTAAACAGAAATAAATCCTTCGGTTATCCAAAGGAATAGAGAGGGAAGATAAAGGAGGAAAACCCTGTTTAAAGAGAATATCAGTGCACGCTTCTCTATTTGACCAGAAGAAAATTCTGTGATGCACAGGGGAAATTCCAACAAAAATAGATTATGAAAAAAAAGCTCTTCTGAATCAATATAAATAATGGTATGCTTTGTTCCTTTCTCTGTATTTGTACCACTCAGTCTAGCCATCTGTCAGCTTCCACCTCATTACAACTTCTTTAATACCAACTCATTTCCATTTCTGAACTCATTCTTGCTCCTGAAATTATCTTCTGTTAGAATATACATAATTCTGTTAGTTTCATAATATATACATCTAAGAGCCTTTTTCTGCTTTTAAGTTTCTTTAATGTGTAAGAAACTAATTTACTTTTTTGTTAACTTCCTATAATCCATCTATCCTTTCCTCCTTTCTCTGAAATACACCTGTGGTTCATTCCATCTCACTGCTGTGAGACATAATGGCATTTATATATGAGCCAACTTTCTTATAGTCCAGTCTGTCTTCTGCGATTTAAACAAGTTTTAAAATACCATTATCTTCATAAAGCTTAAAAGATTGATCAAGGAACTGCTATTTCTGCCCATCGAATAAAAATATAAAAATTTTCTTCTCAAATTCCATGTCAACTGTCAAATAATTAATCAAATTGCCTGATAATGTAATGAATTTCCAATCCTCACTGTATTCAAGCAACTGTTGGATGGCTTTCATGAATGTTCCAAGATGGGTATGGCTTTTGGACTAAGGATGAAGCTAGATTCTAAGATTCCTTGCAAGTATAATTCTGTCCTTACCTGTGGCTTATGGCCAAATATATAATGGTCCCTTTCTTTAATTTTCAGCCTACTGTTTATATGTCCTTTATTGGTAGGTTCATAGGAGTATTATATGTGATATATTTGTTCTCCACCTAGACATCATGTGCAACTAAGTGATGAAAAAATGTTTCTGCATGAAGATAAAGAGGCATCAATTTTTTTAAATTAACAAAGAAAATACTATTGAAACAAAAATGAATGCAGTAACATTTAAAAAACATTTTCTGAGTAACTAGTGAACATACCTTTGGGGAGGAGGTTGCCTTGGGCTTGGAGTCGGATTTTAACAACATCCAGAGGTGTCACTATTAAGATACATAAATTTCAATTGACAAGTGATACCTGTAAATTGGGGAGTCCCTGAGTGGTGCAACAGTTAAACACTTGATTACTAGCTGAAAGTTTGGTGGTTCAAACCCACCCACAGGTGCTTCAGAAGACAAGCCTGGTGATCTGTTTCCAAAAGGTCACAGCCTTTAAAACTCTATGGAGCCGTTCTACTCTGGAAACATGGGGTCACCATGAGTTAGAATCAACTTGATGGCAACTAACAACAACAACAATCTGTAAACCGTACAGAAGTTTTCCCAAAGAACACGGACTATATCAAATCATACATCTCCTCATGACTATAGAGTGGGTAAGATTATTTATCTTAAAGTTGTCTTGAATGTAATGTTCTGTTATTTTGTCCTTAAATTTTGTTTAAAGAAGACCAATGAGAAGACAGTTACTTCTCACAAATACTCAACTGTCACTCAAAATACTTCAACTATTCCATTAGCCTTAAAACTAAAATACTAGCATTTATAAGAAAATATGTGCTCTAAGGCAAGAAATAGAAACTCCAAAAGTCTATTTAAATATTTGAGTTAACTTTGGATTCAAGTAATCAATAATCAAACAATATTAGTCTTCTTAATCTGTTAAATTCACCTGTACCAAATAAAAGCCAGAGTTAATGCAGATTTGATAAAGCTAACTACAAATTATCTTTACCACTAGGTTTTGTTATTCCCAGGGCTTCAAACCGGTTCCTTCCAGTTCAACCTCCTGCTGAGAATTTGCCTCTCCACTCCAGATATACTGAATCAGAATCTACAGTTTATCAAGAGTCCCAGGTGATTCTTGATAAAATGTAGATTCTGATTCAGTACATCTGGAGTGGAGAGGCAAATTCTCAGCAGGGGGTCGAACCGGAATGAACTGGTTTGAAGCCCTGGTTATTCCATCTGGGAACAATATGGCAAAGGAAAATAGTTTTAATTAGCATGCTATATTTTATTGAAGCAGAGAAAAATGCCAAATAGTGGTTCTAAGAAAACTTTTCCTTCCGTTTAGGAAGTCACATTAGATGATCTCTAAAGGCCTTTTAACCCCAAAATTCTGAGCTGAAGTAAGATATTACTTTATAAATGAATTAGTATATGTTGTTTCTAATCATATTATGTCATTTAAATTAACCAGCTATCTTAAGATTACTAAAATGCTATGCCCTAATTACATTTGCTGGCTGTATCTATAAGAAACTGACTACAAGAAACTGAAAAAAATGTGGTCCAGAGCAATTTAAGAAATTCAGTGTTTATGTAAGCAAAGCAAAATATAATTTGTATTGTTGGTACTGTGAATTGCCCTAATTCTGTATTATTCATTACGCTAATATTTTATTCCATCTTCATGCTTCCTTTTTAAAAAAGAGAATAACAGAGTCATCAAATGTTAATGTTGACAGGGAACTCAAAGAACTCCTGGCCTAAGCTCCTAATTTTCAGATGAAAAAATGAAGTTCAGAGATAACCAGGGCCTAGCCCCAAGTGCCACACACTGAGAACGGCAAAGCAAGGACTATAATTCAACCTTCTTGACTCTCTGTCCAGGGTTGTTTTCATGTTATCATCCTGATGAAGGAAGAAAATACTATAATCATTATTTCATAGATGGCAAATTCAAACGGAATCATCGCTTCATTCAAAGTTACACGATTTACATATATCACTAACATTATTTTACCCATGAGTGATGTCAGTATAGCTCCAGTACAAGAGGCAAGCATTTGTTGAAGAGGTGTCACTTTGACAATCTCTGGTCCCCCTGCTTCGGGGTCCATATTTTTAACTAACTGAAGAGAAACCTGTTAAAAAAAGCAAAATGTAAAATGAAAGTTAAAGGAAAAAATGCTTTCAAAATGGACTGTTAAAAATTAAATAAACTATAACAATAATAATCAGTATTAATATTAAAAAACATGTTTTTGACCTCTATCAAATGTAAATATATAAATTCTATATACAAAAGTACTATACAACTGTCATTAACAGAGCATGCTCTCTGATTTTCCAATAATGGTGAGTACTTCAGCTAAGCTGTGTAAGCTGCATCTATTTGTAAGGCAGCTAACAGAGAATTAAGGAAACAGACCCTAGCCATGTAACAGAATGAAAACAGCTGACCAACAAGGCACAGAATCTGTGCATTTAACCTCAGAGTACCAGCAAATACAGCATTATTTGTACTGCATACCAAAAGTGGTTGCACTGGTTTACAATAAAATCAAAAGCACATGACCCGAATAAGAGAAATATCTTAGAAAAATGTGATGTGAAAAGTAATATATACTCTTCTTAAAAAGTTAAATAATATTAAAAAAAAGTACAAAAATCACTTAGAAACTTACTACTCAAAAATAACCACTGGAAACATACAGGTGTCACCTTTCCAGATGTTTATGCACGCGCGCACACACACACACACACACACACACACACATACATGCAGATTACATCCATCTAAATATACTAATCAAACACATATACATATTCATGTGTCTGTGTATATGGACCTTTTTTGAAAAACAAAAATTGGATATTATACATACTGTTTAGTAGCTTGCTTTGACACATAAAAATATACAATAGACATCCTGTGTCAATAAATGTAGATTTAGCATTGTTCATGATTGTACAATATTTAATTACACAGCCCTAGTGGTGCAGTAGTTAAGCACTAGGCTGCTAACTGAAAGGCTGGCAGTTTGAACTCACCAGTGGCTTCGCACAAGAAAAGACCTGGTGATCCACTCCAGTAAAGTTACAGGCTAGGAAACCCTATGAGGTAGTTCTACCCTGTCACAATCAACTCAATAGCACACAACACAACCATTCTCATATCATCAGATATTTAGGCTGTTGGCAGTGTTTCAATTGTAAGTCATTCTGATATAAATACACCTATACATGTATTTTTTTGTAGCTTTCCTACAATTACTCCAGGAGAAAGAGTAAAACTGCTGGATTAAACAATTAAAAAACATGATATAAACTGCCAAAACGCTTTCCAAAAAAGTTGGACCAATTTATACTTCCACTAGCAATATAGGAGCTCCTACTAATCTACAATTTCACCAAAATCATACCTACACACATACACACACACCTATTTACAAATCATTTATTTTTCATGAACCATTTGAAAGGAGGTTGCATACATCATGCCTCTTCACCCTTAGATACTTCAGAGTTGTCAGGTGCTGTTGAGTCAGTTCTGACTCTCAGAGACCTTATGTACAACAGAAGGAAACAGTGCCTGGTCCTGTGTCATCCTCACAATTGTTATCCTCACAATCGTTACTATGTTTGAGCCCACTGTTGCAGCCACTGTGTCAATCCATCTCACTGCAGGTCTTCCTCTTTTTTGCTCACCCTCTATTTTACCAAGCATGATGTCCTTCTCCAGGGACTGGTCCCTCCTGATAACATGTCCGAAGTATGTAAGACGAAGTCGTGTCATCCTTACTTCTAGTGAGCATTCTGGCTGTACTTCTTCCAAGACAGATTTGTTTGTTCTTCTGACAGTTCTTGGTATATTCAATATTCTACACCAACCCCATAATTCAAAGGCATGAATTCTTCTTTGGTCTTCCTTATTTATTGTCCACCTTTTGCATGCATACGAGGTGACTGAAAACACCATGGCTTGGGTCAGGTGCACCTTAGTCCTCAAAGTGACATGCTTTTTTAAACACTTTAAAGAGGTCTTTTGCAGCAGATTTGCCCAATGCAATACGTTATTTGATTTCCTGACTGCTGCTTCCATTGGCATTGATTGTGGAACCAAGTAAAATGAAACTGTTGACAACTTCACTATTTTCTCTGTTTATCATGATGTTGCTTATTGGTCCAGTTGTGAGGATTTTTTTCTTTATGTTGAGGTATAATCCATACTTCAGAGTAGTCTCTTATATAATATCAGTTTAATTATCACCTTCAGGAAATTTAACATTGATACAGTACTCTACAGTCCATATTCCAATTTTGCCATTTATCCCAATAACGTCCTTTATAAGAATACATGGTAGTTTTATTATTTCTTTATCCTTTTATTATTTACCAACCTGGCTTAAGTCTTTTCCTCAACTGTATGCTCCAATATTTTATTGTTTGTAACATCAGTGGCTGAAAACCTGGAATAAAAAAAATAAATGTCTAATGTTTTCACACAATTAAAGGACAACAAACATAAAAGAAAGGAGTATGTTGAAAACTTTAAAACACAAACATATAAATATTTATTGAATGCTTTCTATTAATTGCTTTGAGGAATATGAAGAGCACTCCACAAATCCTAGCAATAGTTATGAAAGCATCTTCACAAAAACTTCATGCTATCCCAGTTAGTTTGTTGTTGTTGTCAAGTCAACCTCTGGTTCTGCTTAAAAAACAAACAAAACGACAATAAACCCCTAGAATCTGAATACACTGATCAATCTTAGCATCATTAATAATGGAACAACTCGAAGTTGTGACACAAAATGAAAAGATCCAGAAGTATTTGGGGTTTAACCTGAAATGAAACAAGTCTTTAGATCTATCTTACAATTTGTAGGAAATTCAAAAACTAGAGGAACAAGGCAAAGGATGCCACAGAGAAGAATCAGACAAGTGCAGGTATAACACTCTAGTCTATACGACTTGTGTCTTGTTGTTGTTGTTAGGTGCTGTCAAGTCAGTTCCGACTCACAGGGACCCTAAGCACAACAGAATGAAATACTGCCCGGTCCGGCACCATCCTCACATTCATTGCTATGCTTGAGCCCACTGTTGCAGCCACTGTGTCAATCCATCTCATTGACGGTCTTCCTCTTTTTTGATGACCCTCTACTTTACCGAGCATGATGTCCTTCTCCAGGGGCTGGTCCCTCCTGATAACTAAGACTATTGTCTTAGTTTCTTCAGCAAAGCAAAGGTGGGAAACAAGGTAGCAAGGGAAGGAGAACTGTTCTATATTAAAGAAATCTTAAGAGAGTCAACATCCTGGTTCAAACAAACTAGCTTAAAATCCAGTTTGGGAGAAGAAAAAAAAAGCCAGTTTGAGGGTAACATGGGCTGGATACTAGATAATACTTTAAAATTATTATTCATTTTGTTTGGGCAGATAATGGTATTGTGGTTATGCAGAAAGTTTTTTTTTTTTCTTTAAAGATGTGTTTGTTTCACTTTGAGAAATAGAATAGCAGGGGTAGGAGTCTGGGGACCATGCTTTCAGGGGACATCTAGGTCAACTGGCATAACAAAGCTTGTTAAGAAAATGTTCTGCATCCTACTTTGGTGACTGGCATCTGGGGTCTTAAAAGCTTGCAAGCGGCCATCTAAGATGCATCAATTGGTCCCAACCA